TTACCCTGTAACTACATGGAACAAGGGGGGAAGAAAGCACCTCTTTAATTTACAGTCCGCAAATATTGTATTTACCCTGTAACTACATGGAACAAGGGGGGAAGAAAGCACCTCTTTAATTTACAGTCCGCAAATATTGTATTTACCCTGTAACTACATGGAACAAGGGGGGAAGAAAGCACCTCTTTAATTTACAGTCCGCAAATATTGTATTTACCCTGTAACTACATGGACCAAGGGGGGAACAAAGCACCTCTTTAATTTACAGCCCGCAAATGTTGTATTTACCCTGTAACTACATGGAACAATGGGGGAACAAAGCACCACTTTAATTTACAGCCCGCAAATGTTGTGAGTTCAAACGTGAACGGCTCTGTGTGCGACGAAATCAGCGACTGCGGTGCTTAAGATGGGAACATGTGGAAAATAGGAGAAAACTAATCGAAGCGCAGACGAGGGACAACTTTGAAACTGTCTGGAGTGTGTTCCTTTAAACCTGCAGCAGTGAATGTGGTGAGCGTGAACTGGAAACAGCTGGAATGGCGCATGAGACGAGTCTATCCGTGTTTGCGGCGCTCATGACAGGAATGTGTGTAGAAAATACAAGAAAACTAATCGACACGAAGAGGAGAGAGATTTTTGAAACTGACTGGAATGTGTTCTTTTAAAACTGGAGGGTTTTGTCCGAGTATGCTCTCACAACATTGAGCAGCGACTGATGAACGGTAAAACCGGGAACTGAACTAAGTTAGTCAAAATGGTGCTTGAGGACGTGGATCAAAACGATAAATCAAAGACTGTAAAATCCTGTCAGTTCGCTATAATACACAGTTTAATGTTGACTTTCAGTGTTTATTACTGTGTGTTTATTGGCGTGATGGTTTGGGCATAATAGTTTAACTTCGTCAGTGGGTGAAAAACATGAACAAATTGAACAAAATCTATTTATTTTTAAACAAGCTTTTCAAAAGAATTTGGTTTAACCGTATAAGCTGTATAAGTATGGAGTTGCTTTGCTTTTTTTCTGAACTGGTGTAATAAATTTTAATCTTTTATTAGGCTATCTGTTGCCTGTGTTGTCATATTGTGTGTGATTTTAATTTTAAAACCCATTTTGGGTTAATTTAACCTAGCATTGGCCTATAGTAAATTGCAAACAATATTTGAATTAAATAAAACAGTCCACCATGTTTATTGATACATTACCTGATATATAATGTATGTATGTATGACCTACTGTATAAACAATAATTTCAGAGCAAATTGTTGTAGCCACTTCCCCTGTAACTGCATGGAACAAGGGCAAATCACCTCTTTAATTTACAGGCCGCAAATGTTGTATTTACCCTGTAACTACATGGAAGGGGGGAACAAAGCACCACTTTAATTTACAGCCCGCAAATGTTGCATATACCCTGTAACTTCATGGAACAAGTGGGGAACAAGTTGGACTTAAACACAGAACAAGTGTATATTTGCACAACAAAGCACCTCTTTAATTTACAGTCCGCAAATGGCAAATGTTGTATTTACCCTGTAACTACATGGAACAAGGGGGGAA